TCATGATAGTGGGGGGGGGAGTGGAAGCATTAAAGAACTAGAGGAAAATTGTATGTTTCATCGGTGCTATACTGCACCTTGACTGGCTCGTCTCCTCCTTGTGACCCTTCTGTAAGGGGTTGTCCATTGTCTACACCAATGCAGTTTTCAATTTTCTTAAAACTTCTTCATAATCAGCCCTGAAAGTTGTGCAAAACCCTTTGAGAAAATCTATTGAGATTACTGTTAGGTCTTTCAGAGACAGGAGACAGGGCGAGACCTTTGATTGATAGATTTATTGAGGGAGGGGAAGTTTGTAGGGAACAGGATACCAAAGGAAATGAGGTGAAAGGAGTTTAGGATAGCCAGATAAAGAAGGGTTAGAGCTGGCCCTCTGTCTAATGACCCGTCCCGCGGGTCATCTAACAACGTGGATACCTGAAAGAGGGACTGGGAATGAAGAGGGGCAAGAGACGCGAGAAATGGAGGCAAGACAGGAGTCTGATCAAGCCTCGTTTTATTGAGCAGAAGGCAGGGGCTTAAACACCCTACGGTGGGCAGGTAACATTACATCATATGCTAATAAAGTGTAACAGGTAGTATCCAATAATCACGCAGCTACCAAATATGGAAGAAATGGCAGGCATCAGTCCTCAAACAGGAGGTGCACTTGGATGGTCCACATGCAAATGAGGTGCACTTGGATGCCTGGCAGAGGTGTCCAATGAGCATGGCGGCTGCCTTGCCGCCGAGCACCAATCATCACAAAGGCCAAACTCAGGCAGGACAATAGGCCAGGGAACATCCGGGAATGGGAAGCTTAAAGACAGTGGACGGCACAGGCCATGGGCTGAGGGACGTGCAGATTCCCACATGTGCAGACTCCCACAGTCGAGTAGAATTGTACAATCACTCCCACAGTCAGTTTCCAGACACCTTCCTTCCTGGGCTCCTTGACATCATCGCCCTCTTATATCCACCCCCCCCCCACCCTCCGCCCAAAACCCTTGTACTATTTGGGTTTCATTTACTGAAAAACAGAAAAATGCTGCATCTTCAAGAGGGGGACCCCAATGGCACAGCACCTCTGAGATACACCCTAACGTGAAGCATAAGCAAAACACAATGTCACAGGATTGTCGGGATAACCCATGTCGTCATACGGCAGCTAGAGCGTGGATGTAGCGGGACCTCGTTTGTCCCCCAACCAACAGTACCCCACTCTTGGTACAGCTGTTGTCTGCTCCCTCAGACGCCAGGTATTTGCCAATGTACATCCTCGGGTTCTAAGTGTGTGAGGGAGCAGGCCTGTCTTCTGAGCTGTCTTCTGAAGTAGGTTTTGGACTAGTTAACTCTTTTTGGACAAGTTTTTGACGAGCAGTGTGGTGCTTCACTGTTTGCATGACCCAGGTACACTTTACAACAGGACACTTCTCAGCAATGAACAACAAATGTTTTTTTTTGAAAGAACTATTGTTTATGTACGTGGTTTTCCAAGAGGTGCATGCAAATTTCCATTCATCCACTAGGTGGAGACAAAGCCCAATCACCTAACTCCATCGTCGTGGTTATGCATTGGGATGCCATATGAAAGGTCAACCCTTCGAAACCGCTGGCTACCCTGCAGGAGAAAGACCAGACTTCCTATTCCTGTAGAATTACAGTCTCAAAAACTCACTGCCAGGGGTTGACTCCACCCTGTAGTGGTCCCCCCGTGGGCTGTTAAGACTAACTCTTTACAGGAGGAGAAAGTGTCCCCTTTGTCCAAAGCAGCAGCTGGTGGTTGCCAATTGCTGGCCTTGTGGCCCCTAAGGTTTAGTTTTGAGTGGTTACCCCTCCCTTGCACAGGAGCCCTGGTGGTGTAGTGGGTTAACCTGCTGAGCTGCGAACTGAAAGGTCAGTAGTTTGAAACCACCAGTAGCTCTGAGGAACAAGAGTGGGAACAGTGATACCATGAGGGCTGGCAGGGAGAAGGGGGACTGATCGCAGTGATTGATTGACTAACACCCACACGAGGGCAGGGGGGCCGGTGGGGAAGAGACAAACAACAGAAACGTGGGTGAAGGGAGACAGCAGATGGTGTAAGATATGAAAATAATAATGTATAATTTATCAAGGGGTCATGAGGGTGGGAGGGTGGAGGGAGGGAAAAAAGGAGCTGATACCAAGAAAGAAAATGTTTTGAAAACGATGTTGGTAATGTTACAAATGTTTAATACAATGGTTGTATGGATTGTTGTAAGAGCCCCCAGTAATATGATTTATAATAAAAATATTTTTCCATTTTGATAACTTGAGGCAGTTCTACTCAGCCCTATAGGGTCCTTACAAGTCAAATCGGTGAGTTTGCGTCTTTGAGACCTCTCTTCCCTAAGAGGCCATGGTCGGGGGCGGGCTATGTTGGGCTACTAGAAAGATGAGACTGTTTGCAACTGTATAGACAGTCTCAGAAATCCTAGAGAGCAGTTCTACTCCGCCCTATTGGGAGGGTTTGCTCGCTTCTTTCAGGTAGCCTCCTTGCTATAGAGGCAGACGAAGACATTATGCACCCACCCCATTCAATGGGTAGGAAAACAGAGGCCTGGCACCACCTTGGTGGTCCAGGGTCTAAGCAACAGCCCAGGTAACCCTCCAGGGTCTCACTTTTCCCCACACCGTTTGCTCCCCCAAATTCCTCCCTCTCTCCTACCTCACCCCTGTTTGCTCCCCCAAATTCCTCCCTCTCTCCTACCTCACCCCGTTAGTCTATACCAACTGGGCCTTTACAGCTGAGATTTGCAGAAGCTGGAGCCCAGGTGCGTATCATCAGGATTATCAGGTGGGAAGAGGAACAAAACCTGTACTGAGCACATGCCTGTATAAACAAAGCCGGAGGGTCCTTGCCTGGACATCCTGGCCCGGGGACTTAATTGGCCCTCCCCAACTCCTTTCTTTTGTACATGAAGAGTGGAAGGGACCTTTGGCTTACATGGCTTCTGGCGTTTACATTTCCAGTCCTGGCCAGCTTTGAAACCTCTAACCCAGGACACCATGTTGCCTCCGGTGAACCCCCAGTCCCCCGCTCCCGAGTGAGACCTTTCTACTTCTGGGAAGCACAGCCCAGAGGACCTTTCTCCAAAAGCTGACTGGGCACCTGTGCAGAATGGCACTTCACCACGTATGCCCTGGGTCTTTCAGGAAGCGTCTGGTCTTTCACAGGCAAGGCCTGGGCAGGCCAACCTCACCCCATGTCCACGGCAAGCATCTGAGGCAAGCATCTGAGCCTATCCGGTTGGTGTGGGAAAAGAGCCGCAGGGTTAAGCTTGGAATCCTGGCAGTGGCTCCACCATGTGTGGCGCCCTCTGCTGGGCTGGGGCTACATCCTCAGATGGGAACCTGTACCTGATCTGGGTAAGGGCCCCCAAATCCACTGGGGTGGAGTCCGATTCCAACTCTTATGGACCCTATAAAGAATAAATTTTCATGGAAACACGAAGTCTCCGTCTTTTTCCTGTGGAGCAGCAATGGGCTCAAACTGCTGACACCACAGGGAAGCTTTCAGCAGACAGGTGTATCAGCTGACAAGAATCCATTTGCAGGTTATGGATGGCAGGGAAGGCCCGGATAAGTGTAGTTCCGCACTCAGTGCATTGAGATGACCTTCACCTCTCCAGCCAGACTGAGGGGGCAGCCTCTTGGGGCCTGTGCCATGATAGGGCTCACCTTATTGGGGACAGTAGTGGGGGGCTGCTATCAGTTGTGCTTGGACCGAATGCTCCTGTCAAAGGTCTCAGTAAGGGTCTTATCTCCCATGCTTCCGTTCATACTGAGTAGCCACAAATCATGTGTGGTCGAGGATTAAGTGTAGGGGTGGAATCTAGCTTGTCAATCAGATCATAGCCAATGAGGGCTGTGTGGGCATGGCCTTGAGAATTCTGGAGTATCTGGTACTTCCTCCTTGGAGGCGGGAGACACCGGTGTACACACACCCTGGGAGACATGAAGACACATGAACCCAACTTGATGCAGAGACCCCTGCCAGCTGTTTCCAATGCCACAGGATCCAGATTTTCTACCACTGGCCTGTGATCTACAGTTGGCATCACTGCATTTGTCAGAAGAGGGCTTTATAGATTGGTGTCACTCTTTCGGGGCTTGATCTGGACTGGGAAGTTCTCAATATTCAATTGTTGCTCTTGTATGTCAATCTTTTACATCTCTCCATGAATTTTTTTCTCTACCTACCCAGACACCACAGATGGTGTTACATGCCATATTTACCTAGGCCCTCCTGACAATGCTGTCCCTCATCTGGATTGCCACCCTTGAAAAAAATGTTCTCGATGAGCGTTTCTTGTATTTAAAACAGGGATGGATACAAATTATCTAGGGTCTTGGAAGGTTGAAGGGGCTGAGTGAAGGAACTCCACAGGCCCCAGGTGCTAACTGGATGCTGCTGGTACCCCAAAACTTCCCAGCTGTCATGTGGGAAGAATATTAAGCCCAAATGGGTGCAACCATTCCCACCCAGGATACAGAATAGGTAGACAACCCCCTGCCAAGAGTCCATTTTGACTCAATCTGGATTCAGACTACCTCGTCTAGTCATGCTTGTTGCCTAGTCTCTATCCACTTGGACTACCGTCACCAAGGGACCAGTGTCCTTACTGCAGGTTTAAAACGAGGGCCATCTTGTCCTATCTATTCATGAAGGTTTGATTCACACACAGAAGAATCATTCCACCAGTAAAGAGGTTTTCAATTTATTGTAATCAAGTATCAGGAGTTTTTACAGGCTTGAGAGGCAGGCTTCTGTAGACATTAGCTGCATGTGGAATTCCTAGAATTAAAAACAGGCTGTCACACAGAGGCTACTATACCAAGTAGAATGTCAAATTCTGACCTTCTGACAACTAAGATACCTTGTGCTTCCAAATGAGAACCACTTTCAGTTACCTTCCTACTGCCAAGTTTAGAGACCAGCACCTACCTCCTCCCTTGTCCCAGAGGACAGAAAACTCAAAAGCAAAGACACTGCAGGGATTTGAACCCCGTCCTGGGAACCAGGAGTGCCAACCACCAGCATCTTTTGCTTTTTTTTTTAAGCTAAGCAAAGGCTAAAAAGCAAAACCTGAGAAAACAAAGTTGTTTTCTCAGGAAAAGAAAAACCTTCACGGCCCTTTGGAAGTACACTGGAGGTCTGCTTCAGCTAAGACGCTAGCTTGGCTCTGGCTCTGTTAGAGTGCCTGAAAGAGTCTGAGCAGAGAGTTTTGCAATCCCACCCAACAGCTTTAAACTCCCTGGGCCTTTTTCTCAGTCCCTCCCCAAAAATAGGGTAGTGAAAATCAGGTTACTTATCCACTTACTGGTTTTCAGGTGATATGGGTTGCTAGCTGGTACGCAAAACATTTTCAGAGCTACTTAGCTATACTTTTAATAACGTTAACTCACAGACAAGGGCCGCCTCTAGCAGTACAGCCCACCAACCTCGGCACCATCACGTTACCTTGAAACTGCTTAAGGGCCATTGCCCACCAAGGATCCAAGCTACCAGCTGCAGCGAGGTGAGGGGTGAAGGGTCTGCGCTAGGCCAAAGGCAGGGGGCGGTGTGGTGTGGCAGAGAAGTCACTTGAGGGGAGACCTTGTTTACAGGCTTCTGGAAAAACTAGGGGAAACTGGTTGCCCGCTTTCCCCCTGTTCCCTCCCCTTCAAGTTGAAGGCTGGGCTCACTTAGAAAGAGCTGCTATGAAAACAGTTCCTTTCTCCATTACTGACCTCAGCCCATGACACTCAAGGTGCCGTAGAGGTGGCATTCAAAGGAGCACTTCTCCCGAATCGCCTCGATGCAGGCAAGGCTGCAGAGGCTCCACTGAGGCATAGCCTCCGTCTCTAAAGACGATCTGGGTTCATTTGTGAGGCTGCCACTTGAGTTTTGTTGACCTTAGTACAACAGTGCTCGGTAGTCTCTTGCCACAGGAAGGAAGGCAGGCGCCACAGATGTCCTACGTTAAGCCTTCGGTGCCTTTAGTGAGAAGTACCTGGAAAATCTTAGAGAAAGGCTTAGCGCCCACCTCACCCCTCCTCCCCCATTGCCAACACACAACTTGCTCATCACATGCTCTCAAGCATAAAGCTCAACAGTCAGGTTAATTAACCTTGTGCAAAATTCACCCAGAAGTGGATTGACAGGAAAAGAGAAAAAGGATTGTTCACCTGTTATCCTCATTTTGTCCACTGGTGGATTCAAACTGGAAACTCCTAGTAAATTCTGAAGAATAACCATCTGAAAGAACTAGTGGTTCCCAATCCCCACAGTTACCAGGGCAATGTTTGATTGCGTAAGTAATTTTAAGGAAATTAGCTATTTTTATTCCTTACTGGGTCTGGCTTCTCTGGCCCTTCGCAAAGCATCCTGTTTGACTGTTCCTGCGTGTAAGAATTAAGACCAAGGGAGGGGAGAGAGAAACCGGCACAAAAGACAAAATGCACTAAGACCACTGACTTAAAAGTTGGTTGTTTTCACTTGCCAGTTAAATCTCTTCAAGACTTGCTGGTTTGGAATTTATTTCTTGTCACCGATATGAAAGTTGCATCTGGAAAAAGACTAAAGGCTTCAGTGCCCTCCCCACCCCCCCTCCCTATCAAAAGGAACAAAAAGCAAGTTTACCGATGAGGCAGCACAGCCAAATGGACTTATGTTCCAATCACAAGCACTGCTTTAAAGCTGCAGAAAAGGTCACCACTCAAGCCTCACTCAGCTGATCTCCTCACTCACTACTCCAAGCACTGGGGGGAACCACAGCGTTTACTCATTCCAGTCGCCTTACAATGCATCTTAATAGCAGCGGGTGAGCACAGTACTGTGTAATCACTGGCCAACAGAACAGACCTCAAGTCAAGACAACTGCGTTCTCTGTAGTCTGTAAAAAAAAAGCTAGAACAAGTAAGCCCCGCCCCTCCCCTCCAAATCCAAGGAAAAACTTTAACCGAGTACAGTATGTGCTGATAAACTCACTGCAAGGTCTCACACTCACTAGCAGGCAGAGGCGGCAAGTGCTTATATGCAAGCCAAGTTCTGAACAGCTTCGTGAAGGATGAAATGAGGCCTCTGCAAAGGAAGCTTGAAAGGAAAAACCCACAGATGCCCCACAGACACTACAGTCAGTCTAAACACTGGCTAGCACTAGACGGAATGATTAAGCATTGAACATTTATTTACATGCAACTTGGGGACTTGGCATCTCCCCTATCAACTTAAAGCCCTAACTTTCTAGAAATAGAATGTTTAAGTTACCTGTTATCTCTGATCATAATCTCCCACCTGTCTAAGAGGTTACTTATTTCCTGTATTTAGAGAACCTCTAAGTGCCATGTGCCTGGAGTTTATTAAGGTCTCATCACTTTACGGAGGAAGTAAGTTTTGTCTTTCCTGCCTTAACCAAGTTAAAATTCGTTCTTCTGCTCAATTCCTGATCTTGTCCATAAGAGGGCTCGAAGACAAGTTTCTGAAAGATTAGAGAAGAATCCCCCCAAGATTGCCCCAACACTAACTACACACAAAACAGCACTTTATGTAAATAAGGAGACAATGTTTCTAACAAACATACATTCTCTAGTAAAATATTTTTATTAGGAATAATTAATTTTTTTCTGCAAACGCTATACATTGCAACATTTAGACTATCGAGATTAACACAGCTGATTTACGTTACCATATTAAACTATTTTGCAGGGTCTTCCAATTTCGTGTTAAAACAAGTTTCCTTAGTTCTGTTTAAGTACTACCATATTATTAAGGGCACTAACCTCGTGCAGGCTCTTCAGAAATTACTTGCCTCTGATGGAGATGTAGGGGCCCATCATGGAAACCCAAAGGTTCTAAGACCGAATTAGAGGGCTAGATGGGTCAAGTCCGAAATCCTGGGCTCCCCTGGGAAGGGGGTCAGGGGTACTTAAGGCGCCTCCACAGCTTAGGAACAGGCACTTAGCCCTCAACATGCAATTTTGCAGATGCACATTAAACTTATCTGTCAACAGCTGCCTTGCTGTTTACTGCTCCCAGGTGAATTGAAGCAACTCTTCCGTTAATTTATGTAGAGAAAACCTGTCTGAGGCAAACGAGAGATTGGCACACAGCACGGCCTCTTCCTTCCTCTCAAATTTACTCATCTCAATTAGGTCAGCTTCTTTAATTCCAGGTTTAACGTGGCAATATTTTCATTTTGCTTTTGTAAAAGCATTATTTTGATGGATATTTGGTCTTCATTGGTTTAAGCATTTCTCATCAATTCACTTTTACTTTTTGTGATGGATATATATACAGAAAGCCTGAGGAGTCAAGCTATAACTTTAAATTGGCAGATTCCAGAACGTTAAAATTGGTTGAGCTTTCATTTGCTTAGTTTTTGGCATATGCAGACAAATATTCTCTGGGTGCTTCAGTAGTAATCATCTGGTTATGATTTTTCCCCAATGGAGTTACGAAATACAATCTTTTCTCCCTTTACTTATCATTCACCAAGGAGCTGTTCCCTTCTGCAGCTAGGCCATCATATTGTCAGGCTGGTTGACTCAGATGTTATCTGAAAAAGGTCTACAGAAAAAAACACGGTTTCCCCACCCTCATGAACAAAAGCCCACCCTTTAAAAGACATTTAAAATCCCTTGTCAGTTATGATTTACTAGTTAAGATGCAATTTATAAAACAATGTATAGAGGCATACCTTCACGTCTTGTTTTGCAGTCAAGGTAAAAAGGGTTCCTACACTAAACAACTGTTTGCACACAACTTAAAATAGAATCTTACTTGATAACATTATCTATCACCAGAAGAAATCCCTTCAGGATCATTAAGCCACTTCCTTTGTTCTGAAGTTCCTACAGTAGTTATTAAGTTATATTAAGTCACCTGAAAAAAATTCCAAAAAGAGAACCACAACACTACCAATTCACACAAACTTTATCATTTTCTTAACTCCCCAAAATTTACTGATTGTTTCAGCCAACATTTTGCTTTTGCCCAGCCCCTATTAAGTTGAGGGGAATGAAAAGTATGGTTTACTTTCCCTACCCCAATTAATGCACTGGTCCCACCAGTGGAGGGGCGGGTCTTTATTTTAATAAGCTCACGAGCTGCCCGATAAAATCGTGGGAAAACTAGAGTATTCGTAGTTACTTGCCAACTCTTCAACTTGAGTTTTTCCATCTCAATTAAGTTCTGGTGCTATGAGTTATCTGAAATCATAAACTAAACAATTACCTAAACCCAACCCCTCCCTCCCTAATCCCCAACCGTCACAGGGATTGAATCCCTTTTTTAATAAAAATCAGGTCGTTATTTGAAAACTTAACTTCAACATCTGGCCTAGCCAAGCTCTTCTGAAGGCCTCCCGAGGTGACTGAATAGGAGCCAACAGCTGCACTGGGCTGTACTTTTCAGCTTCAGCTGGGAATTGACTTCCAAGGAAAAAGGCAGTTCCAATCCTTGGAGATGTCCGTGCCAACAGCATAGCAGTAAATCCTTCTCTAACCCAGATTTTGTCAAGAGTACTATAGCATCTGTGGAAAATCTTAGGGGAAAAAACACCCCCCCTTCTCTTCCCTGTTAAGACACCCGCCCCTCCCCCCAAGATACTTCCAGTAAAAGCACTTTAAGAATTAAGTCTCATTAAAAGGGGTAAAAACCTGTTAACTACCAGCCATTTCTCCAATGGACAGACAGCTCCTCCCAAGAACTCAAAGTGAGTCTACTTTCTAGAACTGCCAATCTGATGCTGATTATCCTGATACTGGATTTTCTTTTTGCTGTGACCTCCAGTCATTTGCCTTTGAGACTAGACAGACCTAGGGAGAAAAGAACTGAAAACAATTTGCCCCCCAACTTTAGCCCCCCGCAAAAAAAACCAACGACCGACATGCGCCCTATGTGTGAAGGTGAGGGAAAATAACAAAACGAGTCTAGGCGCAGAACGGAAATGCTTCTCTACGCATCCCGAACTGGATGAAACGGCTTACAAAAGCGCTGCTTCTACTGTGTTAATGCGTCTCCCTCTTTTTTTTACGACCACTTGCCAGCTACCAGTCCTCCGGGCCTTGGCAGTCTGCCCTCAAAAGCTCCAGGTGAGATGCGTGAGCAACCAGCCTGGAAGAGAGAAACCCTACGACACCCGGAAACCGGCCTAGACCCTCGCCAGACACCCCCTTACCGAAGGCACACGCCCCGTTACCGTTGGGAAACGTGGAAGAGGCAGGCTCCCGAACTGCGGCTACGGACACGGGCCGCTCGATCCCTGGCTGGTCCCTGTGCCCGCCGGTCTAGGCTCCGCTACCACCTACGCGCCGCCGCCTCCAGGCCGCCCGCCGGCTGCAGCGCCGCGGCTCCTTCCTGGCCTCCTCGCCTAGCTCGCTCGCTCGCTCCGCGGCTGCACGCGCTCCTCCTCCTCCGTCTTCCTAGCTCCGCGGCTGCTCTTCCTACGCCACCGGGCACCGCCGCCGGGTCCCGCTGCACCGCTCCCGCCTCGGGGCCACGCGTCTTCACCTAGCTCCAAATCCTCCGGCCTCTCCGCACATCGGGTCAGCGCCTAAAGCTCAAGGCCTAACTCCTCCGACACGCCGCGTCTGCACAAGCTCAGTCCTTGGGCCTCCCCTTCTAGCTTCCGGTTCTCTTCCGCGTCGTCCTGGCCTACGGCCACGCCCTCTTCCGGCCGCCGCCTCCCTGACTCCTACTGCGCACGCTCCCTCCAAAATGGCGCCCGCCGCGCTCGCCCCCGTCTCCGCAGCCCGTCCGCCTGCTCTCAGGAGCACGCCAACTTGCTACCTTCGCTAGCCACGGTCTACCTCGAGCCTACCTTCTCCCCAAACCGCCCGGAATGTCTTCTAAAAACATTTTTCTTCTGCGTCCTATTTTTTTTTGCCTTCTAGGACCTTTTCTTCCGCTTCCTACCTCTTGTTTTCTTCTATGTTCTTCCTACTTCTTGGTTCTTATTTTTTTTCTGTCTTCTACTTTTCTTTGCTTCCTACTTGATTTTTATTTTTCCTGTCTTCTACTTTGCTTCCTACTTGACTTTTAATTTTTTTCCTGTCTTCTACTTTGCTTCCTACTTGATTTTTAATTATTTTCCTGTCTTCTACTTTGCTTCCTACTTGATTTTTAATTACTTTTCCTGTCTTCTACTTTTTTTCGGCTGTGCACCCTTCGCAAGGCTTTTATCTTCTTTCTCTTCGCTTTCCCACTGGGTCTTCTACGCTCTCCCTCCCTGTACGCGTCCGTTCCCCGGTCTGCGCGGGGTCCGGCGGCCGCGCCGCCCACGGCGAGCCTTGCCTTCGGCTGCGCTATCCCTGCCCGGACCGCCAGCCTGCTTTCCTCGCCACTTCAAACCCAGGTTCGAGGCCCCTCGAAGCCCAATCTGACTCCATGAAGAAGCTTCATCGGCTAACCTCCGCCATAGGCTACAAAGCACCTCTCGTCTCCTCCCTTCACGCTACTTCTTCTTACACAGCTCATTTCTGAAAACGCTTCCTGAGTTACCCGGGCGAAGCAATTTCGTGCTATCCTCGAGACGCCTAAGCCCTAAAGCGCTGCTAAAAGCCTACGCTCCGGTGCGGGCTCCTCCAGCAAGAGCCCCTGCTTCTGTCCGCGCCGCCCGCCGCCTGCCTGCCCCGCCCGGGAGGCGCGGCGCATTTATAGGCCCCCGGCGACTCACACCCATCGGAATCCAGGAACCTTCCGCCCCCTTTGTGAGGGAAGCAAAAATAGTCCCCGGAGCGCCGTGGAC